CCGCATGTATTGAGAGTTTACTGTCCAGATGATTCCCAAAGTGCTCTACCTTCTTATCTTGTTTACCCTTCATTTTGTATCAAGAAGAAATAGGGTTTGAATCTTGATTTTACACTAAAAAGCTGTGTGAATTATGCAAGATCTCTGAACATCAATTCCTCACCTGTAAGTGGATACAATAAATGGCTTCTTCTTGCTACAAAATGAAGCTTAAACAAGATAAGACAGGTAGAGAACATTGGGAAGCATCAGGTCACAACATAAACATCTCAAAGGAGGCTCATGGGCTTTCTGCACCTTGCTGGGTATCCTGACATACATATTTCCTGCCCCTATTTTTAACACCACTATAATTTACCACAATATCACCACTGTAATTGGTAAGTCCAGCTATACCACCAGATGCAAGCTTCTTAAGTCATGCCCCTGTGTGTCTCATTCACCACAGTGATTCCCCAGTGTTTAAGGTAATGCCTGGCACAAAAGAGATCTTCAAGATACATACAATGCCCCAAGTAATGGAATACATGAACACTGGATACACATCACTCAGCTCCTCCATTCTGTGTTCAGAGGGAGGCACATGGAAGTGAAGGGAAAGATGCTTTCCCTAAGTTTGTGTGGAGGTTTCTGGAGAGTGCTGTCGACTACCTCTGTATTCCAAGAAGTTTAAAACTCTGCCCTGTCAGGCTGGGGATATAGTTCAGTTACTAGAGTGCTTGCCTCACATGCAAAAGGCCCTGGGTTCAATTCCCAGCCCTGCAAAAAAAATTTTTTAAAAAACTGTCCTGTCTGCAATCAGGTCCAATGAACCAACAATAGGCTTGCCTTAAAGCACTTAAAACCCAGTAAGAGATTAATAGACATTCTCTGTTCCCTCCCACACGTAATAGATAGGATCAGTCCCATAGGAAGGAGCTTCTCAGCCAAAGTACAGGTCCCCTTTCCTGGAGCACCTACCTTTCTAAGTGTTTCATCTGAGATGAGAGTAGGAAATCCAAAGACTTCACCAGTCAGTCCTCCAGCACCTGGGGTTGGCTTGTTTGAGAAGAATTCCCAGGCCACACCAGCCTGAGGGGGATCCTCCTCCATCTGCTCTCACCCATCATTTTTTTCTGTACCCCCCTCACCCAAAAATCTGCTCACTCCAAGACTGCCTGGAGCATCTCTTATCTTTTAGCTGGAAAGACTTTCAAGCTTACGTCAATTTTTCCTGCCAAACTGTGTAATTGTCAAGACTTCATTGTACTTTCATTATCAAATGATGAAATCTTGTCTTCTCTATTTGACTTGGGCTTTCTAGAGGTGAAGAGCAAGCTTCATTTACACAATCCCCACAAGACCTAGGACACACTAGCTTTGCTGTGGTGAACAGGGGCCCTCTCATGTCCCACCCTAGTTGTGAGCCTCACCCCACTGCCTGTGCCCATCTCAGCCACAATTACAATGACCTGGTGCCTCCTCTTCAGTCCTCTAAGTCAGGGACTTAACATGAAAAAGCTGTCAGCACTCTGAGACTGTCTGGAACAAAGAGTATGATAACAAGCTTGCTTGCCTCCTCTGGTGCAGTGGAACTTTCCTGCACCCCAACTGCAGCTGGATTGCAGATGGGGGGGTTCCTTTCATTAATATCAGGACCTCTGGAATAGCCAGAGTCTCAGTCCTGGGCTATAAGAGGACTTATCCATGTATTTACAACCCAGGTAGAATCAGTGTGAGCTCTCTAGTGTCCTCTGGGAGGCTGGAGCTTCATAATTGTCCCATGCCCCACACATTCCCTCAGGAGCAATTTCTTAGAAGGGGGAAAGATAAGGTCCAGTGGCATTGGGCTTCCTCCAATAAAAACTACAAATAAATAACAGGTAGAAGTATGTTTCTTATACTGAACTAAAGGGCCCGTTCCATCCATTAAAAAAGAAAAAAAATATCCTTTGGTCCACAACATTTGAAATTATTTTCTTCAAATGAAGTCAGAAATGTGCTCTGTTAGTATTTCGTCATGTGGAACTCTTGTGGAAAGGGAATAACTATTCAGATAGCAAAAAATGTATGAAGTCATTTTCATTATCATTTCAACATGGATTTTTTTTATCACAGTCTTTATAAGAAGGTCATGCTAATCATGGTTGGACATTGGGGAGGGGACCAAGAGTGAGACACAAGGCTCAATGGAAATATGCCAAGAGACAGAGAAGCCAAATTCAGGGGTTCTTGTTGGTCAAGTTTGGACAATGGGGTAACAAAATAAATGATGTAATTAATTATAACCAAAATAATAAAATAAAAGTAAGTATATCATACTGACATAAATAGATTAATGAATGGATGGGCAAATGAATGAATAAATAAATAAGCAAACCAACAAGAAAGAAAAGTTCTTCCTAGGGATAGAATTTCAACTCATAAATTTTGAAGCCAGGATGGCATTAGGAAAAAAAAAAAGCAATACTGAGCAAACATCACAGTAACAGTTGTTGCAGGATATTTATTTATGACAAAGGAAAATTAGTGTCTGCTCAGGACACACTTCTGTAAATATCACCTGTTTTAAGTGATTAAAGAGTCAACATGCATGTATTAGAACAAATCATGGGGCTTCTGATACGATGCACTGATTCTGTGGTATTCCTGGCAAAATGTGCACACCCTGAATCTCAGTATAAGAAAACAGCAGACAAAATCCTTACAAGGCAATTCTGGAGTGATATCAACAAAATGGTGGTCAGCACTGAATGCCAGTGCCCATATATCCCACTCCTCATTGCAGAGTCCCACTTCCTTCCCACCAGTACCCTTACCTAAGCAAGGTAAGTTCTCAATCCTAGCAGGATTGAGAACTGGAATGGGGCTGAAACTTTAAACCCTCACCCTTATAACCCGGAATTTTCCTTCAAAGAAACAGGCACTATTAACAAAAGGGAAATTGTAAATAAAAATATTGGTTTGTGTAGCTACAGAGTGAAGACAGATTTCTGAGCTGGAAATCAGCTTTTAAGTGTGGTTCATTTGATCCACTGTATTCAAATGTCAAATTAAGAAATTAAACAAAATACTCCATTTTACTCCCTTGTCTAGGATAAAGACCTAAGTGACAGTTTTAAGCTGTAAACATCTTGTTCAGTTGTCAGATTATGTATTTTTGTTTAATCTCCTTGGTTAAAAAATTTTGTTTTCAAGGTACTTGGGTTTCAAATATTACATTTATGTCCTATGGAATGTAACTGTCTTTATTTATTAGATTTGTTTTTAAATGACACATGATTGTTAAATATATTTATGGGGGAATGTATGATGTTTTGATGCTACCATTCATTTTGTAATGATCAAAACAGGGTCTATGGCATAATGCATCTTTCATCTCAGGTGAAAATGAAAGAAAAATCAAGATGAACATAGCATTTCCAACAACAGTCTTTCTCTAAAGCAGGCAGCTAATGCACAGCTCATGCTGCTGCCAGGAATGTGAACTTTAGTCTTCTGCACCTTTCCATTGAAGGCATCTTGAATGACAGGTTACATGATGGGCACATCAAGAGGTTTTTGGACCTTTCTTTTATGGACATTTTCATTCTGTTAATACATTCTTTATCTTCTTTTGGCACTAGCCACTCTTCTTCACCTTTCACTAGAAGTTTCAAATTCTCCCAGTCTTCAAATACATGGTCTTTGTTAAATTATTGAGAGGTAAAATATACATTGTTTAAAGCTATGTCAAGAAAATGCTATTAAGAATATTTTCAGTATTTTCATTTAATTTTGCAAACATAAGAAATAACCTGGCTGGGTATAGAATGTTGAGTTGTAAGATTTTCTTCTGGCATGGGTGTTTTCAGGAAAAATCTCAAGGCACTTTTAACTCCTATTTCTTTTTAAATAATGTGTTATTCTTTGGCATTAACATTTTTCTGGGAAAAAATCATTCTTATCAATAAAATACAAAAATATTGGTTGTGCATGGTGGCACCTGTAACAACATCAGCAACCTAGAAGTCTGAGGCAGGAGGACAAAAATTTGAGGCCATCCTGACAACTTAGCAAAACCCTGTCTCAACATAAAATGTAAATAAGATATGAGGCTGTAACTCAGTGGTAGACCACCCCAGGCTTCAATCTCCAACATTTTGTAACAGGGACAATGGCAAGAACTGTGTCTTAACTAACTCTATTTGAGGTTAGATCTACTTTACAATTCACACCTTGTAAAGTTATTTTTTGTTTTTGCTTTTGCCACGTGTTGGAAATTATTTAAAAAATCACCTTTGAATGAATGATATGCTAATGGTTGGACTCAATTATTACAGGAAAAAGATATAAATACTGGTCCCAAGATCACCTCATCAGTAATCTTCCTTTAGTTTTTCAGAGTCTGGGACAGTTGATGGTCTTCAGATAATATCAAAGTATGAGCCAAGGACTTTCTAATTCTGTTCTATAGTTATAAATGGAATACTGTTTAACATGCAAGGATTAATGTGTCTATCAAAAGAATTCTAGAGATGGCCTATGAGATGAAAGTTAATTGTTATCCCAGGGATATTCTGAAAGAAAATAAAAGAAACACAGCCCCTGGATGACAAATACCCCATTCAGTAGGTAGCCTTCCTGCACCATCCCACACACCTCCTTTCCTCCCTATTTTGTAATGATCAAAACAGGGTATATGGCATAATCCCTTTCAAGTACCTGAGTTCCCTAAGAGGATGTTTGAGGATGACAGCCCCTCCATCTTCACAGGGATGGCCCTTGAATGAACCCAACTTCCTGTACTTCAACTCACATACCCCAAGTATTGGCTTTTTAGAAGCAAGCAAAAAGACTTAGAGCATGTAAGAATTTTACATCTACCATGTAGAGTCTGATACAAGATGTGGTAAAACACATGTATACATATAGTAAAACAGGAAGTGAATACTCCATAAGGGTAATGTTATGGTGTTGGTTTAGAGGTGGTAAAATGCCAGTTAACTCTGTGCCAAATACCATATCAAAAATTTCTTCCAGTGCTCACTTTGGCAGCAAATACACTAAAATTGGAACGATACAGAGAAGATTAGCATGGCCACTGCCCAAGATGTCTTGCAAATTCATGAACCATTCCATGTTTTTTATTTTTAAAATTTTCACTTTATATATATATTTTTTTCCCTCATTTATCTGTTTGCCTTGATTCTCTTTCTCTCTTTTCCTCTGCTAACAGCAAATCTCTATTGTTCTCTTTTTCAATCCTCCTCTAATTTTTTAGTTCTATCTTCTCTCCTCCTCCCACATAATCATCACATCCTATAACTTGCCTCTTCTCTCCCAGTCCACCATTTGAAATTATAAACTCTTTTGCAAACTTATTGTTTTATTGTGCAATAACTAATTACATTGTTCCTGTTTATTATGGCAATTAACATTGTAAACATCAAAGCAGAAACTATTTGGTTTAATGCTGTTTATTTTTTGCATTGATTGTTATTTGTTTCACCCCAAACTGTTAATTACTGGAAACCTCAGCGACACTATAAGTCCATAGGATAGAAACTCTATTGCTTCAGATCCATACTGTTAGATGAGTAGATATACAAACAACATGAAAAACCAAGAGAACAAATCATCCCCCCAAAAAACCAATAGAATCCATCAAAACCCCAGAGAAAGAAATGTTAGATAAGGAGTTAAGAATGTACATATTTAAACTGATCCATGAAGTAAAGGACAATGTAAGGAGTGAAATCAGAGAAAAAATACAGGAAGCAAAAGATCATTTCAATAAATAGATTCTGAAAAACAAGCAAGCATAGATTTTCAAAATGAAGAAATCAATAAACCAAATAAAAATTCAATGGAAAGCATTACCATCACACTAGACCAATTGGAAGACAAAGTTTCAGGTAATGAAGATGAAATTTACAATCCTGAAAATAAAGGTGACATAAAAGATTTTAAGAGATCATAAACAGAAATATGGGATAACATGAAAAGATCAAATTTAAAATTTATTGGAATAGAAAAAGGCTCAGAGATAGAAATCAAAGCACAATCTTTTCAATAAAATATCAGAAAATTTCCCAAACCTAAATAATGAAGTAGAACATCAAATATAGGAAGCTTACAGGACACCAAATATGCAAAACTATAACAGACCTACACCAAAGCACATTATTATGAAAATACCTAAATACAAAATAAAGATAAAGTGTTAAAGGCTGCCAGAGAAAAATGACAGGTCATGCTTAGAGGAAAACTAATCCAGATCTCAGCTGATTTCTCAACCCACAACCCCAAAGCAATCAGGTCTTGGAATAATATATAAAAGCTCTGAAAGAAAATAAATGCCAGCCAGGAATACTATACCCAGGAAAATTAAGCTTCAGAAATTATTTTTTTAGATAAGAATACACAATAGTTTATTCTTTTTAAAAAAATAAAGCATTTTGATCATTTAAGAATTGTTTTAGAAGTATTTTAAATATAATTTTTATGTAGGAATTTTCAAAGTTTTTTTCAGCCTAAACCCTTAACCTAAAAGAAAGGCTTATGTGACATTTTAAGTAATAGGGACAAAAGTCAACCTGGTCTGCTTGAGGTAAGATTTGAGGCCTGGGACCCATCTACTTACTTGCTTGTTCATGTCATCTGAAGTGTAGTACAAAAGAACTTTACTCTGCACTACTGGAAAGCCACAGTTCTGTATTAATAGAAACTATTTGTGAATTTTAATCATCCACCATTTTTTTCTTACACACTCCTTGATATATTATGTACTTAGTTAGAGGTTGCCTATAAAACTCAACAAAAATGCACACATATATTGCTAAATCAGATAGCTAATCTCCTATCTAGAATCCATATATTGTCAATATCCTCTAATAATTCCTGGTCATTGAGACCAACCAAGAGAATATCAAATTATCATTCTTTGTCCCATTTTGTTTTTCAGCAATGAGCTTATCAACAGGAAAACTAACTGTTCAAGCATGTAAGTCTAGTTAGCTTATATAAATAAGTTGAATTTTCACAAAATCAAAGCTATCTTCAAATATTAGCTCATAATTTCCCATTTATGTTTCATATTTTTAAATTAATTAATTAATTTTTGTATTACAATTCTTAATGTACCATTATACCATAATTTATCATCTCTGATTATATATAAGGTATGTTGACACTAAATTCACATCTTCATACATGTATTTTGTATAATGAAGCTTCAGAATTATAATGAAATAAAAACTGAATGATAAACAAAAATTAAAAGAATTCTCAACTAGAAAGTCTGTTCTATAAAATATACTCAATAAAAATTTTCATGAAAAGAAAGGAAAAATAAAAGGGAAAAAAAAGCAAAAGAAAAAACAACACTAGATGAATAGTCAACCAAAGGAGAAACTACTTCAAATTAAAAACCAAAAATAAATCAAAATGACAGGGAATAAAAATCATTTCTCAGGCTGGGGTTGTAGCTCAGCAGTAGAGTGCTCGCCTAGCACATGCGAGGCTCTGGGTTCAATCCTCAGCACCACATATAAATAAATAAAATATAGTTATTGTTTCCAACTACAACTAAAAAAAGAAATATTTAAAAAAATCATTTCTCAATAATAACATTGAATGAAAATGGCCTAAACTCATCAATCAAAGGACATAGACATAGACTGGCAGATTGGATTAAAAAACAAGACCCAACAAACGAGATTTACCTCATAGGCAAAGACATCCACAGAATGAAGATAAAAGTATAGGGGGGAAAAAACATGTCATATACATGGATCTCATAACAAGCAGGAGTTTCTATGCACATATCAGATAAAATGGACTTCAAGCCAACGTTAATCAGCAGGGACAAAGAAGGACATTTCATACTGTTTAAGGAAATATACATCAACAAGACATAACAATCATAAATATTTATGCCCCAAACAATGGAGCACTTATGTACATCAAAAAAATTCTTCTCAATTTCAAGAATCAAATAGACCACAATACAATAATACTGGGTGACTTTAACACAGTTCTTTCACCACTGGATATATCCTCCAAATAAAAATTAAATAAAAAAGCTATAGAACTAAAAAACTACAATTAATAATTTAGACTTAACAGACATATATGAATATTTCTTCCATCAATGACTGAATATACTTTCTTCTCAGCAGCACATAGATCCTTCTCTAAAATAGACCATGATATTAGGTAACTCTTAGCAAAAAAAGAAGAAGAAGGAGAGATAACACCTTGCATTCTGTCATATCATAATGGAAAGAAATTAGAAATAAACAATAAAATAAAAAATAGAAGCTACTCTAATACCTAGAGACTACATGATATGCTATTGAATGATCAATGGATAGCACAGGAAATCAGGGATGAAATAAAAAAAATACTTAGAGGTAAATGAGAATAGCAATACAACATATCAAAATCTCTAGGACATTATAAAGGCAGTTCTAAGGGGAGAGTTCATCGCATTGAGCTCATTCATTAAAAGAATAGTAAGTCACCAAATAAATAACCTAACATTATATCTCAAAGCCCTAGACAAAGAACAAATCAACACCAAAAGCAGTACAATACAGGAAATAATTAAAATCAGAGCTGAAATCAATGAAATTGAAATAAATAAAATTTTAAAAATCAACAAAACAAAACAAAAAATAAAATTGATAAACCCTTAGCCAAGCTAATGAAGAAAAAGAGAAAATTCAAATTACTAAAATTTGTAATTAAAAGGAAATGTCACAATGGGCACTATTGAAATACAAATGATAATCAGAAACTAATTTGAAGTTTTACACTCTAATAAAAGAGAAAATCTTTAAGACATCAACAAATTTCTAGAGATACATAACCTACCCAAATTGAAGCAGGAGGATATGTAAAATTTTAAAAGATCAATTTCAAGCAATGATATTAAAGATGCCATCAAAAACCTACTAACAAATAAAAGACCAAGAGAAGACAGATTCTCAGCCATGGTTACCAGACATTCAAAGAAGAACTAATACTAACCCTCCTTAAAATATTCCTTGAAATAGAAAAGGAAGAACCCTTCCAAACTCATTCTTAATACCAAAACCAGACAAAGACACAACAAGAAACTAAAACTTCAGACCAATATCCCCAATGAACATAGATGCAAAAATTCTTAATAAAATACTGGCAAATTGCATTCAAAACATTTTAAAAAGATAGTGTAGTCTCATGATCAAGTGGGATTCATCCCAGGGATGTAATGTTGGTTCAGCATACAGAAATCAATAGACATAATTCTTCACATCAACAGACTTAAAGACAAGAATCACATGATTATCTCAATAGACACAGAAAATGCATTGGACAAAATAGAATATCCATTCATGTTCAAAACACTAGAAAAACTTAGGATAGTATGAACACACCTCAACATTATAAAAGCCATATATGTTAAACCCAAAGCCAACATCATCCTAAATGAAGAAAGCATTCCCTCTAAAAACTGAAGCAAGACAAGAATGCCCACATTCACCACTTCTATTCAACATAGTCCTTGAAACTCTAACTAGAGCAATTAGAGAAAAGAAAGAAATTAAGGGGATACAAATAGGAAAAGAAGAACTCCAACTATCCGTATTTGCTGACAACTTGATTCTACATTTAGAAGACCCAAAAAAAACTGCACCAGAAAATTTCTAGAACTCATAAATGAATTCAGCAAAGTATCAGGATATAAAATTCACCCTGATATATTAATTGCATGCCTGTATATCAGTGATAGATCATATGAAAGAGAAATTAAGAAAACTATCCCATTTACAATAGCCAAAAAAAGTAACATAAAATATTTTAGAATAAATCTGAAAAAAGAGGTGAAAGACTCATACATTGTTGGTGGGACTAGAAATTGGTGAAACCACTCTGCAAAGCAGATTCCACAGAAAATTTGGAATGGAACCACCATTTGGCACAGTTATCCCACTTGTTGGCCTATACCCAAAGGACTTAAAAACAGCTTACTACATCAATGTTTATAGCAACACAATTCACAATAGCTAAACTATGGAACCAGCTTACGTACCCCTCAACATAGGAATGAATAAAGGAAATGTGGTACATATACCCAATGGAATATTACTTGTCCATAA